CTGTCAACGGGTCGGGTCCGGGCCGGAATTCATTATTCCGGACCCGGACCCGAATTACTATGCCGGATCCGGACCCGACCCGTTTACCCGACGGGTCCTTTATTCTACGTTCCGGATCCGGATCCGGCGGTCCCGGATCCGGATCCGGGTCTACCCGAACAAATTTACCAAATTTTATAATTTCTAATAAAAATGAGAAAAAAATATATTTGTAAACTAATTTCTAACTAATGCAAAGAAAAAATCAAATAAGAAAAGAAATCAAATTAACTTTATTAAAATACATCACCCTAATCAAATTATATTGATAAATATATATTTTTTAAATTATTAATTCATTTATATCCGGATCCGGGTCTAATACGGGCCGGAATACTATATTCCGTATCCGACCCGTTTTTTTGTTTGACAAAACGGATCCGGATCCGGATCCGGGAAACGGAATTAAATCCCTACCTATACCCGCATTAATTTCACGGATCCGGTCCGGATCCGGATCTAGACCCGACCCGTTGACAGGCCTAGTTTGGGGCCCAATTCAGATGAGGTAACCGGCACAAGCCAAAACTAAAAGACAAATTGCGGGTTAGTACGAGGGAGTGAACAGCAAATACTAATGCCTTTGTAGTGGGTGGAATCTGGAAATCCCCACTGATGAAGCCGCGAACTACTCCCTCTGTCCCGTCAAATTGGGACATTTTCTGGGAATAGCACTTATCTTATTATGCACAATAAAATGGCGGGCTGTACTTTTCATATTCTTTCCATCTTATCCATTGTTTGAACACTGAAATAAAAACAAAACGTCAGAGGACTTGTGAAAGTGTGCATGTGTTATGTTGGGCCATATATAAATATTTATTATTAATTATTGTAATTATTTATTATTAATTGATAAAATCTTGTCATTATTACTAAGCGTGTAAAAGGAAAATAATATTGCAAGTTGTATGACTTTTATCATGAGATTCTTATTTTGAAACAATAAAAAAGTGCAAATAGACGTTAACAATGAAACAAAAGGAGTACAATTCCTCGAATAATAGCGGTAAATGAAAATTAAAAATTTCAAGATTCAGCAAGGGCTAAGGGTAGAGGGGTGAAATTGCGGAAGTCAACTAAAGTCGTCAACTACCAATCTCCAAATTTTCACCCAAAATTACTTTTGGATTGATATAATTAAACTTCACTATTAGATAGACTTAAGTGATAATTGAAAAAACAATATTTATAATGGATAAGTATCACCCTCTAGTTTGCAAAAAGAAGGAATACAAGATTGTCAAAATGGGTAATTGACTTAAAGGGATAAATTCAAAGAAAAAAGACAACTAATTTTGAATTAAAAAAAAAAAGAAGAGAGACCAAAAAAATGTTTTTTAAAAAAAGTAGGATATACCTTAAGGGGATAAATTTTATTTAACCAAAAAAAAAAGAATGTATCACCTCGAGATTTACCTAAGAACAACCTTGCAACATTAATTTATCTTAACCCTTACTGTAACTGGATAATTTAATAATCAAAACTTGAGTAGGTAATACATTGAAGATGTAGTTCTAAAAGATTAGTGTAATGCATACCTAGTAAAAACCCGTACAAAAGCAATATCTTATGGTTTGGATATATGAAAATTAATGAATCATTCTTTTCTCCGTTCAAATATTTTGTGTAAATTGAATGCCAACATATTCTCAACACAAAACTATATTATCCACAATATAGTATGTGGTTTTTGCCAAAAAAAAAGGTGTTGTGGATTATTAATAGTCTTAATTATCTTTTACATTCTGATTACAATCACAACACTTAATAGCCTAGTTACTTAATAGCTACTCACACATGAACACACTATGACATTATTATCAATTACTAACTTTACTTAGAAAAAAATACAAAGGTCAATTAGAACCGAGATTGGTGTTTTAACCAAATTTCAATATTGATAAAATATGTCAAAAGATTTATATTGAATTTTGATTTCAATTCGATTAAACTTTGATTTGGTCAATATGAAATCAAATTATTATTCTAATAAAACAATGAAATTGTTAACATACAGAGATAACATGAACTAATGAAATGGTTAACAATGAAATAGCCAAATTTATTGTTCAATCAACTCACATTTACTCATATTCATATTTTTCTTTTCAAATTTGAAATTATTCTCCAAGAATTTCATGCATTAGGCTGATTGCAAACATTTTTCATGATTAATTGATTGCCACTTTTTTAAATCTTTTCAATCTAACTGCCAATTTTTCAAATAATTTCAATCTATCATCCATAACTTTTGTGACTCAGTTGCTTAGACAATAATTTGGTTCAATGTAAACAATTCAATTACACACTACATAAAACCCCCCCTTCCCCTAGAAAAAGGATTATGATATCTATCTTAGTTTAGAACATGCGAATTATGTTTATGATAATTCATCTATGCTAATTGACCAACTTAATCAATTTCAATTCCAATTTATCGTAAATTGCATTTGTTCGGATATGTATGTTAATTTGAACACATGATTTTAATTGACATTTATCTAGATATCATTGCTGGCTTGTTTCAATGGATTTGCTATCATTAGATAATCCAGATCACAACAAAATCTTTAAATTTAGCACTTACTTTTAAGAGTAAATTTTGATTTTTACTATAATTTGGTTATCCTTATTATTAGATAATGTTAATATTTGAAAAAGCCACCATCTATGCTATATATAAAGTTAGAGGGATCACAATTAGTGTAAACTTTTTTATGTCATTTTTAAAAATTTCTATTTTATCCTTAAAGAAAAACTAATTTTTGCTCTAACTACTTAATCACATTTTGCTATTATAACTACTCATAACTACTCTAAATATTTAACTACTAAATTACAATAACCTTATAAACCAAAATTCTTTAATAAATTTATAATAAATGTAATTATGTAAAAAATTAATTTTATACAAAATTAATTTCTTTTAATTATTTATGTATATAATTAATCATCCGTGTCAACTAACAATTAAATTTAAACTGTCATAACTCTTTTATCAAGTATGCATTTACAAATTAAGATTGGAGTACACATGGCTTCATTTCGGCATACAAATGACAATTTTTTGGCATACAAATGCCTATAAGTTGTTGAGGGGCATACATGTTATTTCTCCCAAAACTAAAATGGACCACTTTGCGTGAAACTTTGGCCTTGTTTGGCAAGCAAATTTTTTGCCAAGTTTGTCTACTATAAGTTTTTTTAAAACTTTAACTACAATGACCTCAAAAAACTTCTCAAAGTTTTTACACTATACACTTCAAAATATTCAAAAATTTATACACTTCAAAATTTTTTTAAAAAACTTTTACAGTAAATTTTTAGACAAACAATCAAAAAATTTACTTATCAAACGGTACCGAAGTCTAGTCGGTCACTACATTTAATAGTTTTTTTTTTTGTCCTGCTCCACTGCTATGTGTTGTCCTAAATTCCTTTGCTCTTACCACCATGCATAGGTGAGTCAGCTTTCCACCACCATAGATGAAACCGATTCTTATGTTCACCAAACTTAAGAAAGAATGGACAGCATAGGTTCCTCATTCTAAACTTATCTAACTTCTGTTTGATTTCCTGAATTATTTGAGCCGATTCGGGACAAGATAAACAATGCCTGAGATATCTGCGTGGATGGTTTTTTTAGGATCTTATATGGAAAAGTTTGATATGTTTCCAATAAAGTTGTTTGTCCCGTAAAATGGTAATTGCAAATGTTTCTCAAATCTAGAGTATTAAATTCACTCGGCACACTGCCCCAAAGGGCCCAAACAGAAAGGGGAAGGGGTGGGGGCTGGAAAAATCACTCTGCATAGTGTATATAGGGCAACTAATAGGTAAGCTAGAGGGTATCAAATTTTGCGAGGGATAATTTCAGAAACCTCACCTCCCATGAGATTTCTGACAATTTCACTAGTCTTCCTTAAAGTTTATAAAATTACACAAAGCTCCCCTAAAATTAAAATTTTGATAATAAAATTAGTCTAATTAGAAAAAATAACATTAAAAAAGAACTATAAGGAGACGGATGAAACTTTTATTCGATAAATACCTTTTATGCATGTATATAAATTGTATTAGTAAAAGAATAAAAATAACTAAAAGTTAGAAACAATTAATATACACATTTCACCATTCAAAAAGTTCACATTTAATAAATTAGACACCACAAATAAGTAGCACAACTATATTAATGATCACAAGATTCATTAAAATAGGCTAGTTATCTCTTTTAACATGATATTTGCTATGATTTTTGTGATTCTAAACAGAAAAACTTTCAAATTTTTGAAAAAAAAAAATCCTCACGAACAACTTTCTTTTGGCTTGTATTTTTTCTTCTATCAAAACCCTTCTTCTTACCTTGTGTACAATTGATTTCTGATCATTGTCAAATTCTATCAATCACAAGAATTTGAAAATTCTATCAATTAGAAAGGAGGGAAAAGAAAAACAAAATTTGAAAAAAATTTTCTTTTTAAAATCACAAGAATCATAACAAATATCATGTTAAAAGAGATGACTAGTCTGTTTTGCTGAATCTTGTGATCATTAATATAGTTTTATTACTTAGTTGTATTATCTAAATTATTAAATGCAAACTTTTTGAGTGGTAAAATGTGTGTACTAATTATTTCTAACTTTTAATTATTTTTATTCTTTTACTAATACAACTTATATACATGCATAAAGGGTATTTATGAAATAAAAGTTTCATCTCTTTCTTTAAAGTACTTTTTTAATGTTACTTTTTTAATTGGACTAATTTTGTTATCAAAACCTTAATCTCAGGGGAGATTTGTGTAATTTTACAAACTTTAGGGGAAGCTAGTGAAATTATTAGAAACCTTAGGGGAGCTTTCTGCAATTATTCCATTTTGCAAATTCTTATTAACACAAATTCTTGCAACTTCTTGCTGGTTGGTTTTGTTTTTTTTTTTTTTTTGTCAACTTCTCATTTCCGTGAAGGGTTGCTTCCAAGTTCCAACTAGCCAACCACAAACGGCTCTGTTCCTTTTAGCTCTTTCTTCTTCAACCTAGCATCATTGCTACTATGAACTTTCACTCTCATATTGTTTTTCCAGCCAAGAATTTCGTTGGAGCTGAGGAACCTTCAACCTAGACTAAACTGTTCTTCCATCTGGTTAATTCACGACATGCTTTTCGTTTCAACTGTTTTTCCTTTTTGAGGTCCGCTTCGGTGAAAAGGGGTAACCGGTTCTTTCTGATATGAAACTCTTAAACGTTTTTCTTTTCCCAATTTTATTGGTTCAAAAGAAGTAAAATTGTTGTATGATTAGGAGCCATAAATAAGTTGAATCTGCGTTTTGACCTGAGGCAGATCGAATATGTCTACTTCTTGGCACAAATACGAACTGGTAGACGGCTCAGATGACCCTGAAGACATCCCATTAGTCGCAGTCAATGAGAAGCCCGTTTGTAGGATATGCAAGTGTCACCCTTCAGTCCTTGATGAACTTGGAGAAAAGGGAAAGCTCCAAGTGTCGCACCCCAGATTTGGCCCATTTTACCGTGAAGACGAATCCGAGGTCAGTGGAAAGAAGGAAGCGTGGGATAAAGTACTGGAAAAATCTGGAGGCGGGAACAGAAACAGAACCATAGAAAATTACTTGTTTGCAACGAGAAGGGTAGAGAAAAGAGCCAGAGCTAGTTATGCTGATGCTGGGGGAGTCGTGCGTAACTTGACAGAGTCTCAGTTCCGGTGGATGATGATTGAAGATGGTTGCTTCTTCCTCCAGTTGGCATTATTCATCCTCGGAGCTTCTTCCGAGCAACTGGGTTATCCCGGCAATCACATTATCTTTGGCAACAAAAAGAAGAAAGAGGATGTCAACAGGTGGATTGAGGCGATGTTCTTTGTTGGGAATCAAATTCCACTTGTGGTGCTCAATGAATTTATGAAGCAAAGTTTTTTCCAGGATATACTAAAAGTAGTAAACTGGGAAACCCCATCACAACTGCCCAAGAGGATCTTGTATGAGTTGCTTGTTCTGCCTGCTCGAGAACATGTTACCAATCAAACTGTTGCATCACCAAAGCCACGGGGTGAAGAGCGGCAGCCTACTGACTTGCTTCATGCGCTCCACTCATTCATGCTTGATCCAGCACGAAGTTTAAGCAATGTCAACCTCGTTGAAGCTGACACAGGGGATGTTGATTTGGGGGACATCGGGGGAGTCCATGGGACCAAGGACTTGACTCTTAGCGCCTCCGAGTTGAATAAGAAGGGAATCCGTTTTAGGAAAGTGAAAGAGGTGGGCTGCACAGAGATAAGTTTGACAGACTACTACATCTTTGCTCGTCTTTACTTGCCGGTATTCACAGTTGGTGATGATACAGAACTAGTTTTCAAAAGCCTGAAGCATTACGAGGAGAGTCAACAACAGGGCAAGAGCAAACGCGAGGTGAGATCCTATCTGCAGTTCATGAACGATCTCATTTGTACCTATGAAGATGTCAAGCTGTTAGCCAAAAAAGGAATCATCAAAGCAGACAACCCCTACCATAAAGAGAAGTTGCCTACAATCTTGAGCAATCTGGCCAGCCAGGACAAGCACACCACTCCAAACCTCCACCTTTTGAGGATCCAACTGAGAGACTATAACATTGCTCCCTGGGAAAGGTTCAAACTCTTGGCTATCTTGCTTTTCATCCTCACCTTAATCCAGACAGTCTTTGCTGTGTTAGCTTACTTTAGACCCCCGCGCCAATACCAAAACTGATGGTTTTCCCATATATATGAGTGCGAATGTTGAGACTTCTTTGTTAATGCTTTTACTTGGTTCTAATGTTTGATTACTTTGATGGCGAGAGGTCTTTGTTCATCCTCCTCCTTATATAAAACGGTAAACAAGAAATTGAAGAGAAACGGAACGTAAAGGCAAAAACCATAACCATTGTTGATATAACTGATGACAAATTACAAGTTCTAACATGTCAGTGCCTTTATATCATTCTAGATTAGAGGCAAATTACAAGTTTTCAGTAATCTTGAGCAATCTGGCCGGTCAGGACAGGAACACCACTCAAAAAGGCTCCCCAGGAAATCAGTGCAAAGTATTGGCACCCTGCCTAATAATTCTCACCTTCGCTCAAACATTCTTTCTATTGTTAACTTACTTTAGAACCCTCCCCATCCCAACATTAAAGGGTTGTCACAAATGAAAGAATTCAATGATGATCAGAATCCTTTGTTGGTCCTTTTTTACCTGCATCCTCGTTTCAATGTTCGTTTGTAGTACAATTTGGAGGTTTCTTTGTGCTTCCATTTGGAAAAGTAAACGAGACACAAAAAATGCAATGTTAATAACCACACGGAGTTCACTAGCTTTGTTCGCATGAAATCTCCAAAGCATAACAATACCTAAAGGTAGTCCCTTACATTAATTGTTCGAAAGTTTGTCTTCCAGCTCCTGCGTCATTTGATCGACTTTGACATCTGCGAAGAAGAAGACACAACCTAGCTGTTGCTTTATGAAAAATTTGAACATTAAGAAAAAAAAAATTGTACGTTTACCCCTCTATACATATTTTTTGACCTTACTAGTACTGTTTGGTTGATTGATTTATAAAATTTAACTTGCCATTAATTATTTTAGCGTTACCTGTTGACTTGTTAAAATTTTATCTATTATGTCAAGAAAATTTTATTTAAAGCTAAATTGCATGCACCTTTTCATTAGTTATTTCATTTTCTTATTCATTTTTTATCTACCAAATTTCAATTTTTAAACACTTTGTTCTGCGTACATATGATTCTCTATATATGAGCTGAAACTAATAAAATTGGAAAATTCCTAAAATTTTTCTCCTTGAACATATAAAACCAGCATTTGTAGCTGTATTATTTGTGTAAGTACTTTCCATTTGCACTTTAAATATGATTTTCTCTTCAAAGATTAATAGTAAAGAATAGTCAACCACATTTTTCTCCTTGGGATTGTAAGGATGAGAAGATTAAAAAATGAATACTTGTACTAATACATAACTATTGCATATTTCAGTTTATCAATCAATACATAGCTTCCTTGCTAAAGCTCCGTACACTTAACTTTGCTGTTGCTTTGTTAAAATAATTCAGTAGGCACAATCTACACCTGTTATTAGTGTAAAAAATTCACTATATTGACACTGGATAAAAATTTAATCCTAATACTTAATAGTCCTACTTAGTTGGGCAGCTAAAGAACTTCCAATGAAAATTGGGTTTTGTAAACCCAATATCATTCCGCCCAAATTACTGACAGACTTAGAAGTTGGGGGAGAAAAACGATCATTGGGCCATTCCACCAGATTTACTTCCATGCAAGAACAGATATTTGTTCATCTCCATACCACAGCGTCAACTTGGCAGTTATCTGCTGCCCAGATCCCATGTAGCAGATTCAAAAACGTTTAGTGTCAAAGGTAAAATCGTAGTTGATTGTAATCTGAAGATTAATACCGCTCAAGATAAATTCTAGTTGAAGCACGTTTATGTTTCTGTTGAGGACTTGCTTTCTTCTCAACGCATTAGGTACATTAAGCCTCTTCGAAGAGATGTTCAGATAGGCTTAATTAACAACAGCTCCCATAAAAACTGATTTATACTTTTGCTTGTCCAAAAAAATTAACACTTAAGACCATAACCTGTATCCATCAGGCAACCATTGCTGTTGGACGAAGCCCCCACAAAAAATGTCATTGTCAACACACTAAAAAAAAAAAAAACAAGTTCATCTATCATCCAAGTTCCACAAAACACTTGATTGGCACAAATTGTTAAAAATTATGACAAAAGTTTTAAGGTTTGATGCAACAGTGGCAAGTGCATTACAGAGGGCTTCGATTTTTAAGTGTTCTATTATAACTAATTCTACCTAAGTTTGTAAAGGAGAAAAAGTTCTTTCCAATTAATGGAGAGGACCCTAGTTGTTTTTCTTTTTAATACCTGGCTTGCTTTTTCTTCTTCATTTTCTCTCTTTAAGATTGCGTAACTCGAGCCATCTGTGTTTCAACCGGCAACGATTTACGATATCAAGTAACTGATCTAAAAGTTTCCGACTCGTCTATAAAGTTCTCATCCAACGCGAATGTTAGAATGCTTGATTCTTCCTGAAAGATTTATAAGCCAGAACCTGATTAACATATCAGGTAACTAGTATAGAATTCCATGGTTCTTTTCACATGCAAAAATTCATTGATATAGTAATGAATTCCGTCATAAAAAACTTGTTTGTAAGATATAATTGAATTTTTTTTTTATTGAAGAGTGCAACGTTGTGTGGATGAGGTTTAGTCTCCTAGTCTTCGCCACGCATATGATGGGGGATTGGGGGTAAGAAAAGGCCACAAGTTGGCTGCTTTTCCCTTCCATTATTCTTTGCTTCTTGTCTTCATATAGCTTCAAGAATGACAACAAGAAGAGAAAAGCAGCCAACTTGTCGCCTTTTCTTGAAGCTTGAAGCTTGAAGAGCAGCACAATAATGTGAATCCTAATTCTTAGCCATGTTCGATAATTTATTGTAAACCCTTTTAGCGAAGTAACTGAGAGGAAACTTCATCCGTTGGAAGAGAAAAGCAAAGGCCTCCTCCCAAAGGTATATTATATAAGAGGTTGGCACTCGAACCCCCCCCCCCCCCCCTTCAAAAAAAAAAAAAAAAAAGAATCACGGCTAGTCATGGTGGAGAATTAAACATATTGGTGACTAAATTATTCAATTTAATTTAATTCTATTGGAGTGATTAACTTCTTAATCGAAAATTCTTTAATTTCTTCTTTTTGACGCGTTGAGACAAAGTTGGCACTCACTAATTTGGAGATAAATAGGCTATCAACAGATTACTTACTTAAAGAGTTAAGATAGCTTCATTGCAGTTCATCATTATCTACACAAGCACAAAAAAGAAGGGTGAAAAAGAAAAGGTCCGCAATATTCTTATTGATTAGATTATATATGTTGTAATTGGGTAGCCAATGTAGCAAATACAGACTTCCTTATTACTTGAAAGGTTGTTCTGGATAACATTACAAATGTTACTTCCAAGTTCCAATTACACCTTTTCAAGATCTTTGAGCATAGACCCAAAACAAATAAAATAAAAAAAAGTTTATCATACTTCATGCGATCAAGAAACATTAATTTAGACATCAATCTACCTCTTATATATAGTTATTAGCAGTGAAATGCACAAATTAATTGTATGAAGGCAACCTTGTACCACAATTAATTTGGTTTTGTTAATTAAAAGTGGCGTGCTTTTTTTTTTTTTTTTTTTTGGTTTTTAATTTCAACATATAAAACCATTCCAAAATAAAACCGAGATATGAAAAACAGCCCATTTCCATATGGCAATATGCGAGGTATAAATTGATACTACATGGGCTTTCACCAATTCAAGGATAGCTTGCACGCCATACTGGGATGGGTTCTTACCGAATCAAGGATAGAGTGTACATGCCCTGTAAAAATCTGGAACAAGTGAGAACATGAAAAGAAAATACAACACACAATATAATCTTCCTCCATGAATGAATAAATGTGCAAGTAGGAGTCCATTATACCCAAAAGAACATATGCAAGTGGTAGTGCACTTTTATTGGTTGCACTGCAAGCTTTGGCATAAGATTTAGAAATGAAGTTTCCTCCTAATTTAGCAATCATTGCAATTGAAGTTCATGGTTGAAGTTGAGTGATATCCCGTTTAATTCCCATGTTTTTTTTTTTTTTGCATCTGAATATTTGAGATATGAATTTTCATTTAGGAAACTTAAAATTCCGTTTGGATTGTAGTTTTTTTTTTGAGGGTTTTTTTTTATAGAAAATATATTATAACATTTTTTTAAAATGTTATATGTGAAAGGTAAAAATATGATTGAAAATTTTGATAAAGAATATTCTTACAAAAACTCAAAAAGAAAAAGAAAAAGAAAAAAACAATCCAAGCAAGTCCTTAAATCTATACTAGAGAGGTCATTGGTAGAATTTTCCTTTAATTTTCTGGGGTACATCAGAGGGATGGCGCGACCCCATTCTTCATATCTTTATACACAAACTTTCTAATCTCGTTGGACGATTCCTGCAGCACTTCCTTGTCTAAATTCCTTCTTTAAACTCTTCTTAGCGAATGCATCCAGCCAAAATTCCTTCTTTAAAGTTAAACTCCTCTTAGCCAGGCCATCAGCTACCTTGTAAACATTCCCTCCATGAGTGGATGATATTGCATTTCCAGTCTCTCTCCAGCCATCTGTAAATCTTTCTAATCAAAGGTTCCATGCAAGGCAAGGAAAGCAACATCTGCAATATGTGAGGAGGAAAGATGCTGGCCTATAAAAGGTAAGGGGAGAACTTAAATGACTCTTACGGGGCAAGTGGTAGTCACCACGTGGCAGGTGGAGAGATTGATAACAGTTGTGTCTTGGCAAG